CACAGGATACGGAAAGGAATTATTTCTTGCATCAATAGAAGTCATCGGAGGCGTTTGTAGTTGGTGGATGATTTGCGTTATTCTTTACAATTTCTTGACTTCTGTACATTTCCGCAACCTAGATTTAAGGGAAACTAAAATTTCAAAAGGCATCCCGAAACAATTTTCTGTGATTTGGGACGATTTCGAAGTAACGGAACTAACAATCATACACGACACCTGCAAAATATGAACTCAGAAACTAGTTCAGGGAACTAAAATGCTCATTGAAGGTAAGTTTGTAGAGCTTCGCACCAGAAACCCTAAACTGGCTCAGTATTGTTTATAACCTCGCCAGAGGGCATATTTTTGTTTCACCCACAATCGTACCAAATGGTAAACATTTTGTTCCTTAAAAATAAAATTGTTTTTAACCTGTGAACTCTGTCCGTGGCTTGTTCGGGTTTCTTATCATCCCGGATTCTAAAAAAACGAGGAAACCGCAGTGATATTCCCTTGACAGGATACACCTAATAAACAACGACGAGGAAGAACTCATCTGTTATGGAAAGACTGTTAGTGGTGGAGTACAAGGAGAAGGAGGTAAAGGATATCTTCAGGGAGGAGAGGGTGGAGCGTATCTGGGTGGATTTGGAGGTGGCGGTGGTTTTCGTGGAGGCGATAACGGAGCTGGTGGCGGTGGTGGTTACTCCGGGGGAAATGGAGGTGGGAATAAAGCTTTTTTCTGTGGGGGAGGGGGAGGATCTTTTAACATTTGGACAAATCAACTAAACGAATGTTGTTATAACTGCGATGAACGCGATAAAGTGATTATCACATTTCTTCAGTGAAATGGACATGGCGACACAATCCTCAAAGTGAAGCAGATATTCTTTTCTCAAAACCTCAAATTTGAAAAAAATTTTTTATTAAAAGTTTGAAGGTGTACGCTAACCTTTCGAATTTTTGCTTTCGAGTTCAGAGTTTGAATTAACAAACAGTATTTGCTGAAATAGGTTTTTTCGTGGATACATTTTGACCTTAGGGAATTTATCTTCCGCAAAACCTAAAAATTTTGTTCCTTTTCCGGCTCTTTTCGGAACATTACAGACGTTGTGTTTGAGTATTTATAGAGCGCAAGTGTTCTGTCTTCAACTGTGAAGGTCAGTAGACACAAACGATGTTAATTACGAATTGTTTTGAATTAATTGTTTCTAGAAATTACAGAAACAAGCCATTACTTTTTTCTCCTTATCAGTCGATAATTGATAGTTTCAAACTACAGTTTGGTTAAAAACCAATAAATTGGTTCCTAGCTGTCAAATTATAGCTGTTTGTTTTTCATTAGACTTGAGTTACTTAAAAGCAAGGTTTCTTTGGGAAAGAGCGAGGTAGTATATTTTATCCGAAATACGAGAATCTACAATATCACGACAACGGTTTTATTTGCTGGTTTCTCCGTCCATTAGATCCTATCCTGTTTCACTCTCTCTCAAACTCATTGGCTCTGTCCTGTTTCACGGGTAAAGCTTTTATTGGCCTCGCTACCAGCCACCTGCACAGTATGCATTGTCTGTTGTCAATCGTCAAACCACGCATTCGCAAAGGGTTCAATTTTGGCCAGCCCGCGTGCCAATTTCCCGCGTAAATTTTCAAAGAAGAACTTTAGAAAGAGCGTTTTCACATGAAATATTTGAAAAAAAATAATTAAATGTTCATGGAAATCTGTAAACGGGGACAAAAGTTGGGAAAGTCGAGACTTTCGAACACGAAGCTGATTAATATTGAGTATCCTGTTGACATATTTATTAATTTATTTCAGGCTGTCAGGGTTTCGTTTCTGTGCATAGCAATTAAGTCCAAAATGGTTGTTTTGTGCAAATATCTCTAAAAA